TGTAATTTTAACTAAATTAAGGTATTAAATAATTTTTTTATTAATATAACATATATAAATTAAATTAAATTAATAATAAAATATTTTTTTATATACCCCAAAAAAGGTCAAAGTAGAGCTCTTCAAACCCAATCTTAAATTGATCTAAATTATTCGAAGAGACAAATTTAACCCAATCCTTATTTAAAAGAAATTGCATCGATTGGAATCATGATGAATTGAAATCAATCAGATATAAATTGTTTTGTCATTTTTACATCTATTTATTTATTTTACAAAATATATTTAATAAATAAAACTTTAAAAAAACAAAAAAAAAGAATGACAAAAAAATCAAATGGAATGACACTTGAATTTATTAAATTAAGATATTAAATAATAATTTTTAATAATACATATAAAAATATAAAATTAAATAAATAAATAATATATATATATATATATAATGGTTGAGATATAACATCCAAAATCTTATCATAACTAGACTCGATTTTAAAAAAAATATTCAATCCAATTATCCTAAATTAAAAGAAAATACATTGATTAGATCAAATCGAATCAAAATTTATTGAATATGAATTATTTTATTATTTTCTATATCAATTAACTTTTTTATTACAAAATTTATTTAATAAAAAGTAAAAATTAAAAAAAAGACCCAAAAAAAAAAACTTAAAAAAAAAAAAGAGTTGGATGTCATATGAATATTTGAGATGAGACAAAATACTTTCAATTTATTTCTAACTCAAATCTATTTTTAAAAAGAATCTTGATCCGATCTCGATTAAAACAAAAAAAAAAAACTTATATTGATTGACTAGCTAGAATCATTTCTGAGTAAATATGAATTTTTTTATTATCCTTATCTCTTATAAAATTTATTTAATAAAAAAATAACAATTAATAAATAATAAATTTAATAAAATAATAATAATAAAAAAAAAAAGAATAGAGGAAGGACGAGACATGAAATTGAATGTAACAAAGTTTGTTAAAATCTCAATAAATGAGTTGCTGTCATAACCTTAATAAATGCCTTGTCATAACAAGAAGTGTTAATGTTAAATTATGGTATTTAATGAGATGCCCAAATTTTAAAAATCAGAATTTCCAATATGAGAATTAAGTTATGAATATATTAATTAATTTGGTAAGTTTTAATATGAGTATCAGATTAATTAATTGATTCATAATTTAGAGATATTAAAAATTTTAAAATTCTGATATCATATTAAATATTTTATTATATATAATTTAAAAATCATTTGTAACATTATCCCAAAACAGAAACTTAGTTCAAATCTAGGAACTTCATTTCACATATGTAATTTGGTAAACATTCATACGTGATTAAGTAAAAGTAACTAAAAACTTATGCAAGTACTGTGTATATTTTGTTAAAATGAGTGATTCTGGATGCTCAATGATGCAGGGGACAAATTCAAATGTGGCACAACTGATGGAGAAATGGGCAAGAGATAGACATGGAGAACAGAATTGCTTCCACTCGACATAGCCACTTTGACTGCACTTTTGGCCATTACTTATTGTTAGCCATAAGCCACATGAATATGCTTCCTATCCTACCTCACTTCCCTCAAATCAAATCTGTTTCCAGACAAGCGGCAAATGTTTCATCTACTTTCCTGCATGTTACATCTGTTTGTAGTTAGATGTCAATTGTCCTAATGAAAATTATCACTATTAATTTCACAAAAGATTTAATGTATTTCCTTGTGAAGTATTTTGTCAAATTATGATTTTAACTTGGCTTTAATTTGGCCACTTTACTTACCAATTCCTCTCATTCAACTTGATACTTGCGTTTGCTTCACGGTTTCTTTGAGTGAAAGAGTTCTGAAAAGCTATCATGTATGGACATTGAAGAATCCTGTGCTCTTCTTCTGTTCTTCACCCACCTTTATATAGACTGATTTGATATTCTCAGGTATAAATCAACTTTGTCTAGTGGCTGCAAACCATTGAACTAACCTCTTCTAATCAAGATTTAAAATGGAAAAAGTTGCCAATTAATAAGACAAGCAGACCACTCAGACTTAGTACCATTCCTGCACAGAAATGATAGGCTTGATAGCTATCCAAAAGAGATCAAATTTGCCAGTAATGACTTTTTTTTTTGCCTCAGCTATCCAGGTGTTTTAAAATCAATCATAAAAAACATTCTAAGACAAATGCATAATACATTAACAGTAACTCAGAAGTCAATTGTGGAGGAGCATCACTGGTTTAATCACTTGCTTTTCATAAAGTTTTAAACAATGTTAACATCCATATATATCATCAATTATCTGCAGTGATGGATCTAAAATTTTTTCGAAGTATTCACTTATATAATATATATAAAAAAACTACTGATAGATTTATTAATTCTTTCAATGAAAAAAGTGTTTTAAGGGAAAACCGCTTTTTCAAAAATTTCGATCTTTGATTTTTGCATGGGGATCCATCCTAATTCTTTATTCTTTGGATAATCACAAAGACTTGAGTACCTTTTTTTTTTTTTTTTTTTTTTTTTTCATTTTTAAATATGCAATATTTTTCCAACCAGTCAGAACTGTGTAATTCATCAAATGAAAGGTGCAAGACATGGAAATAAATCTTGCTTCATCCAACATCCAGCAATAAAAATAAATGAAAACAAACAGTCCTAGGATTGACAAAAAATAATGGGTCCAAAAATATATTGATAAATAGAAACTCACAGATGTTGCCAATTCATTTGGTGAATGATTGAAATGATGGGAAACAGGATAATATTGAAGTGGCATTATAGGTAGAAAAAATACAAAGAACCACAGGTGCGTTGCATCCAAAAATTTGGGATTGAGAGGAGATAGCTTGAATGGGCCATATCATGTACATAAAAAGATGGGGCAGCATGGGTTCTCAACATTGTTAATGAAAATTCTATTAAGCCTTTAAATCCTTTTCTTTGACTCCTTTCTGTCAAATTTTACTTTGGATTCTTTCGATACAATGCACCACCAGAAAGACAAAATGTCCTGTGTTTTATATTACCTTTAGCCTCTATTACTCGGAGCAAGGGTAAGGGTCCAATATAGAATGAGTACGATACTGACACATGCATTCATTTTAAAAGTTTTTTCATATATTTGGAGGGTTGGACCACCATACTCGCGTCCATTAAATATATATCAGACACAAATATTTGAAGAAAAATGAAGAGTTGGAATAACATAGCCATTAGCTAGGGTCAGTACATGGAGCTTCTAGTTGTGTTTGTACTGATATTGATCACACAATTAATCCACAATGGTTTGGAAAAGACAGGAAATGGTGTAGACAATATATCCTGCATCTATGCATGCTAGGATCGGGAGGAGGCAGCATTGCATTCTTCAAATGAAAGGGACCTGAAAGGGAGAAACAAAAGGACAAGCACTCTTATCATATGCTAAACAGCTCCTATAATAATTATTTCATCTTTGTTTTTCTTTTGTCCTTTTATTTTGGATGTCTAATGGCTGATACTCCAGTCAGTTCAATCCTATATATATGATTTAAAACAAGTTCTAATGCCTTGTCAAAGCTTCTTTTAAAAGATTCTTAAGTTTTTTTTTTTTTTTTTCTCAAAGGCTTCAAATGTAACTGAGTAAATTGGATGAATTAAAGAGTGGAAAGAAGAAGAGGTAAGCACATCGTGGATTGAAATCGAGTAACAACATACTTTATTCAAATAGGTAGAAAATGAGGTTGGGTTTTCATATTATAAGTTCAGAGGAGGAATGTTGGATGTTGTTTTTAGTATTGTTTTCTAAGAAACCATTCACATTAAAAAGGTTCTATCAATTACAAAGAGGAAAAGAAGGTTAGAACATGGGATTCGGAAAAAATTGAGAAAATGAAGACAAACTTTAGGGTGTGAAACAGTGCTTTTTTTTTGTTGGGTTTATTCATCGCTTCAACTTAATTAATTAATATGTAAAATAGTTTTGATGTATAAACTTTGATAATACAAAGAAACTTAGTGGCTGATTGTATTTTATATCGACGGATCAGTGTATCGAGCAATCATCAATATATTATAAGACTATCAAATATCTATAAAAAATTCCTTAGCAAAATATTTTTAAAAGAATCTCATTTATTTGGAGAAAAAGAGAGTTCAAATTATTATTTCTGTTTTCTTTTATTTTTTTACAAAAAATCAGATGAGTTTATATATTTAATTATTTTTTTAATTTACAAAAATAACTGCTTATTTTGATAAATAAAAATTATCTATTTTTGAACAAATTTATCTATTTATTTTGTGAAGATTGAATTTTTTTTATTTTTATCTACCTGTTTAGAACTACACTTAATTTATATTTGTTTAAATTAAATTTTAAATAAAATACTATTTTATTTACTACACGTACACATTACCATGTATGCCAAGTGCCATAAAATAAATATTAATATGATATTAATTTTAAATTAATTATTTACAATAAATGCAAAATCAACGGATCTTTAAAAATCCAATATCATGGCTCAACCTTCCATATAATCCAGTTACTCTAAACTTTCACTCTTTGATTTAAATAACTTTCTTCTCTTTTCCTTTTTCAATTTGAAATTACTTCTGACGCTCTATTTTGAAAATCTTTAACAAATGATGCTCCATCTAACAGTGATGTGCTAACAAAAAGCGTGCCTGAAATGACTTGCAAGAGATGTGTTTTATGCCTACATGTGCAGGTATAGTCACACATTTCTCTCTGTCTGCCTTTTTGTAGGGTCTCTGCTTTAGATCTGATGCTGGTTTGTATCCTACATTATGGACAATGAATCATTATGTACCCTTCAAACAAGGGCTTTTGCATGATATGCTGATGATTTCATAGCCATAATCACCAGTTTCATATATTTTATACTGCAAAATTTTCTCATCCCAATGGAATTTCGTACTATCCTTTGGCTTTTGATTGCTTATCCCAATGGAAAATTAATTCTAGACATATTTTCCAAATCAATAATTGATTGATCTTTGATTACTAGAATTATTTCACAATTGTTCTTAGAAATTGAGGAAGAAGTACTGTAATCATATCAACAGGGAAAGATAACCATTAATGAACCAGAGGTTTACTGGCTCTAAAGACATTGATGTTTTCAATAAAATTCAAATCAAATTGAAGATAACACAATTTGCTCAAATAGAGGGATTAATTGTTGAATGCTAGTGCATCAGGTAAATCTCAATGCATTCCATGTCTGTTATTTCCAGCACTTCTAGCCAGTGCTTTGGTAACAAAATGACTAAAAATTCCAATGGGACAAAAGAGAAGGCAAAGAGAAACCGAATGCCGAGTCTCGACTTGGTTTTGCAGTCCGTCATGAAAAACCTGTCTGGATTGAGCAACCAAACAAGATGGTCAGACCTCACAGTCTAAACTGTTTATACATGTGTGCATAAAAATTGAGCCTACCTTGCAGCAAAGAGATCCACAGCCAATAAATGAATCCATGCAGAAGCTAAAGTCATCTCACTAGAGAACATTTTAGCCATACCAGATAGCTAAAACTCGGTGACAAAAAACAAAAGTAAAAAATGAGCAACTTATTAGCTGTTGTCAATGAAAATCGTGTATTTCTAAAGTATACCAATGATATACATATCATATAAGTGCTGATAAACAAGTACCTCCGGCAGCCAGTATTTACTGGCAAACATAAGCCTTAATGTATCAGGCGTCCACGACATATACAGCAGATATGCATACAGAAGTCCAAGCACAATATATGGGATGCTACTTTCCATAGACATTTTAGTCTGCAATAGGATTTATGCAAGCCAAACGCATGAATTCCTTAAGAAATATAGCATGGCTCAAAATATTTACATGAATTACTGAAACAAAGATTGCAGAGTTTCAAATGTTTCCAAGACTAGGAAACTATAAGCAAAAGCTGACTTCAAGGTGCAGGACATACCCTAGACGTTGCAGCGCTTACAAGATATTACAAAAGTTCTAACTAAATTCCAATGACAAATCAAGAATTTCATGATCAAAATACAAAAAAGAAAAAAAAAAACTTTAAATGCAAACAAATAATTACAAACCACCAAATCTCAGACAAATAGTACAATTTACAACTGGTTCACCAAAACTTCACTCCATAAAGGTTTAGGACCCGTAAACGGTCTGACAGGAAAAGAAACAAATAATCAATGTCCCCACAAGGAAAGATGCGACAAGAAGATGGGAATTTCTCAAAGTAATTATTTCTAGATTCACAATATCCATAAAGAAAGTTCATATTCCTAAGCTATACATGGCAACCAGAAACTTAAAAATCGATAGAAGGGAATAATGGTGGTAATGATAAGAAACTTACCAATTCAGCTTTTGGAGCAAAAATCATGAGAGTATAGAATGGAAGAACTGCTGCTGTTCCCAAACTAAACACGCTGCTAGCAATTTGAGAAGTTGTCAACCCTGTAAAACGTAGCATATGCCAGTTAGGAAGAGTGAAAGAAAATGCTTGACATATGTTGACTTCTTTCAAAATTCAATCAATACTCAAAATTATAAATTCCATTGGTTATTGACAATCATGAGAAACCCACCCAAACTTAGATGGCATTTAAGCAGATGTGTTTCATACATGCTACAAATTAAGGACCTTTAAAGATAAACATCAGCATAAGCATAGATAGTGTAATCCATCGATGCCAATACCAGATGGCTGCAAGTAGGACCTCAGTCAGCCCCCAGGCAGCAGCACAGGGAAATAACTGGTGCGATGATCAAGCACAAATGGCACAGGCAGAACGAAGGAAGCAGTCATGGTGGAACTATCCAACTTAGTCCTTTTCACAACCTTTCAGCAGCAATAATTTATACAGGAAAGAGAAACATGTGAAATATGCCTCCAGCATATGCCGGATTTTTCACCTGGCAACCTATGTCAAAAACAGATCAATTTCTTTTCTTCACTCTTTCCCCCACATGTTCACTAATATTCAGTATTTTTCTAGCAAAATACTGGTTTCTGCTACAACACAATAAGTGAAGTGCCAAAAATTAATAGCAGGGAAGGACCTAATGCAGATGAATGCTAATAATTGATAAAAATATTTACTAGGTACAAGAAAGGAACGACCTAAACAGCCAAAAGAGTATATTCATAGAAATTCTTGAGCTGACACGGCATAAGACTACCAAAACTTTAGCAGACAAGACATAACATGAGCATAAGTTATATATTTCTGTTGATCGTTAGAGATAAAAGGAGCTTCAGAAGGACCATGGCGAGACTGGAAAGAAGAATGTAAGACACTCTCTCAGAAGTTGCAACTCCTCCTTTCAAGATAGTGCATGATTCACACAATTCTGACCATGCGACGAGCGTGAAAGCTAGACACTATTAAAGCAAATAAAAAACAGTTTGTAAAATTCTGCTGAAAGTAAGCACTAAAACAGGTAAAAAGAATTACACGAAGCTTGTACTTCAAAGCTTTTTCTACAGTGAATCAATGTTGAAACTCTTTGTCTAATAACAAGTCTTGTTCCTCTAGCAAAACTCCATTCACCAAGTAAGCCAGCTCCAATTCTTGCTTGCTTGCCAAAATGTTCAGTAGTCCTGCTTTTGAGAACAGAGGTGAACCTTTGGTCCATTTCCACATGATGATGAAGATTACTAGGCTGCCCAAAGTGGCTAATCTATAAGAAATTAACCTTAAATGTAAGGATATCTCTTTAGCTTGAAAGCTAAACAGAAAACTATCAACATGTTATATTCATTGACATTTAACGTGTTCTGATAATAATGACTAAATGGAGCAAACAATCCAGTATACTTGGAATCAATCAAAGTTCTGATATGTCAATTGAGCAAACAAATACATAATGAAAGTTATGTCCATCATGCAGACCACCAAAAATCACTTAATTTTAATTTCTAATACTGGCAAAGCTAAAGTCTTTGTCAACAAAAAATTACTCCACAACTAAGCCATAAACCTCATCTGAGATTTAGCAGAAACTAGACTGAAATGTGCCTATTAAATGACCAAATTGATTGTTTCAAAATACAAAAGACACCCATTTCCAGTCATTTAAAGCTCTTTTTCCATCAACCATTACAAATTAAACAACCAAAAACATCAAAAGGGTATTAAAAAAAGTAAGCTAAAGAACATAAAAAAACAAACCTTTAGTGAGACTAGAGGAAGGGAAACGCAAGAAGAAAAGACCATGATTGCTGAAAAACTGAAATACCCCTTAACAAAACCAACAGTAATGGCTTCTTCATGAGCTTTATCATATGCAGTACCCTACTGCCTAACAGTTGGTTATCAAAATAGTACTACCCTAAAAATTTAAAAGGCGGTGACCCAAAAAATGGAAAGAAATTTGGTGACTTCGGGTAGTGAGAAATTCCACTAAAAGAGGAAAAGAGGAGAGAGACACGCTCACACGCAGGCAAAAGAGGTTGAACAGAGAAAGTGCTTTTAAGTTTTGGAAGAGTGTTTAACAAAAAAAATAAAAAACTGTTAAAACCCATGACAGCAAGTAGTGTCCACTTGCAGACTTGTCTTGTCTTGCATATAATAATATATGATACTGCACCTTCAACTTTGTTGTCAGTTTCTGTTGGGATGAATAATTGGTGCATTTTTTTTAGCTGTCCATCCGTTTTTTGACACGTGTATACTATTAATTGGATAAATAAACTTTTTTGTTATAATACGACCCATGACTTCGATATAATAAAAAAATAAAATATAAAAGTTAAATAATTTAAAAATTTATCAATAATTATATATTAATTTAATAAAATTAAAAATATAAATTTTATATTTTTATTTCTAAACAAATTATCACGTATAATTTTATATAAAATATAATACAAATATATAAATTTAAAAATTTTATATAATATAAATATTAGAATCACTGAATCTAACCATCTAACTGGACGTATGCAAATTCAGTGTTGATTTGGGTCGTTGTCTTGGTGGGTTTGTGCTATTTCAGTGTTGATATGGGTCCTTATCTCGGTGGGTTTGGCAAAGTTAGGTAGTGATGAACCATTATAACAATAACAAACCATTATATTATAGCAATAACAATGTAATATAATCTGTACATATAATTACTTTGAAAAAAACATATAATGCTATAAATTTAAAAATTCAAAAATTGTTAGATATTTTTTAATTACACCTTAAATTTAAAACTTAAATCCAATTATTGTCACTTATTGTAAAAACTCTTCACACTCATTCCTTTATTGGACGGATGTATTATCTCTTTCTTCAAATCTAAACCAAATTCATTTTAAAAATTTAAATCAAATCCTAAAATCACAACTTTTGCACTAATCCAAGCTACTTAATTCCAATATAAAAGTTGCCCTTTGATTTTTTTTGTTAAATATAGATTAAATTGAAATTTGGTGTATTGAATTTTTTTACGTGAATTCGTAAATGATGAAAATATTCTTTTGTAAATTTTTTAAAATTTACAAATACGTATATTCATAAACTTTTAAATGCTTACAAAGACACATTTTCGTATATCTATTAACTTTTAAAGCCTTACAAAAAAGCATTTTCATAGAATTTTAAAGGTGGAGGGATATGTGTATCCGTTTAAAGTGCATTAAACAATTGAAAAGCATACTGAAGGTAGCTTATAGTAACTGTTTTTTGAGCAATAGCAACATTATATCCAATGGAAAAAGAACCTGACATGTTGCGACTGTTGGAAATATTTTTAAAATAATGAAAAATGTTTTATTTAAGTATGAGACTTAGCTAATTTGAGAAATCAAAGTTTAGGAAAGCTTAAAAGCAAGCTTTGAAATCAAGAATAAGCTCAAAAAGTAAAGTTTAACTAAGGGTATTCAGATGTCATCATAGGATATTCGAATACCCTCGTAAGCATTTGAATATCCAATCATTGCTTTAAGATATTAGGTAAAAAAACACTTGTGTATTTGAATACCCGTGACAGCCATTCGAATATCACTTTACTGTTCAATCAAAAAATGTGATTTTTTAAAATGACATCTCTTAGAACGATTTATACTCTTTTGTACATTATTTTTCATTTTCAAAAATAAAAATAATTATATTCATAATTATTCATAAAAGTGTATTTAGCTTTAAGGTTGTGTTTATTAAATGAAATGACACATGTAAAGAATCATCACTCTTTTTTTTTTCAAAGAGTTACAACCCTTTTCTTTGATGTCTGTAAATAGAGAGGATTAGAAAATAATCTAAGCATGTTGTTTAATGCTAAAAATATGTGGCAAAATTTTGTCAAAATATTCAAACTTGACTTGATCGGATCTCGGACAAAATTTATTTTAAAATTTTAAATTCTCATTTTGAATTTATTTTTATTTATATGATTTTATATTTAATAATAAGATTCTTTTTTAATTAATTTGAGCTTAGAAGTTATATGAGATACAGGCTCATTTTTTTTTTTTTTAGTATGACGAGCAAGAGTTCTTCATGTAATTTATATAATAGACGGAGATAGATTTTTCAAAGAAATCTTCTTTACATTTATTTTAATAAATAATAAATATTATTTAAAATACGCTAAATCAATCCTCTAACTGGTCCCTGTCGTTCAATTTATGACGTCTTTATATTTATATACTAAACATTAATTATACATATTTTCATATTTTAATTTATTTTGATGAAAAATTTTACTTTATAATTAAGATTTTTAATATAAAACATATAATTTCACACAAATTGAGTTTTTATAATATTTAAAGATTTAAATATATGTTATCAAATCAATTATTAATTAAAAACTCATGTATTTATATGTTATAATTATAATTTTAAACTATATATTTACATGTAAAGAACGTGACAATAAATACTAGTTATGTAAAAAATGATAAAAACTTGACTCGATCTCAATTATTTTAAATTAAAAATTAAATAATTGAATTTAAATTAATAAGTAAAAACTTGAAGTAACCTCAAAATAACTAAAATTCAAAATGATTTAAATCCTAAAAAACTAAACAAATACTAAAAATTGTTATTACACGTTTCTAAAGTTAGTATTTAATATACCGTCGGTGTAATTTTTTAATTCTACATACAATGTTAAGAGATTAATACATATTTCATTTATTTTTAATTATTTTTTTATTGTTTAAATATATACCTAAGGCTATGTGTCATTTTACTAACTTCGCTTATAAAATTTAACGTTATATTTGAATTGAAAGGAGGAGAAAGAAAAAAGAGAAGAAAAAACAAGGAAAATAAGAAAATATTTCCTTGATTTGGTTTATTATTTACATTTTAATAAAAGGAAAAAAAAATAGGAAAATTGAACATCTCTCCTTTTCTCTCAAAAGCTATAATTTTTAATTACCCCAAATTAGTGTAAATAGGAAGAAAAGGAAAGGATTAAAAATTTATAAATATAAAATGACTTTTATTTCATTATTATATTTTATCATTTTCAAATAATACTTTTATAATATTAAGCTTAACCATTGATGTTAATCGTTGCCTTTAAAAACTTTTACAACTTATTTCTCAACTATTTTTTTATCAATAACTTCGAATTCTATATATTTTTAATATATGCTTAGGTTTTATTTTATTTTTTTTTCATTTTGTTATCATTTCATACATTCTAAATAATAATAATAAAAAAGAACATGACAAAACATGTAAAATGGTAGGAAAATGCTAATACTTAAATAAATTTATGGTTAGTTTTATTTTAATAATAAATATTTACATTTTTAATTTTTTCATTTATGGATTAATTTTGAAAAAAATTGTAGTATAAAAATAATTTCAAATATACATTTTTATAAATTAATTATTAATAATATTCTTTTAAATTGAAATTATTTTTATTAAATTTCAAATTTATTTAAAATAATTAATATCAAGATTATTCACATGATAAAAAAAATATTTTTTAAAAAAAAGTATAATCGATCCATTCCATTCCTTTCTTTTTTTCACTTTATCTATCCAAACAAGAATGAACTATCATTTCTTTTCTTTTAAATTTTTTTTCTTTTCTTTTTCTTTCCTTTATTAACTTTAATCCATAGACAAAAAACTCTACTGATAATGGATAAAATATTTTTTATATTTATACAATAAATTAAAACCATATAAATTTTTTGGTTAATGTGGGAATTGAATGTATTCAAAACCCAAAGGTTAAGTTTGAATGATAGTAACATTTGTATCCAAAAAAAATTGAATAGATAATAAATGTGTTTATTCCATATTTAAAGAATTAGATTCGAATTATCATTTTTTTAAAGGTAAATAGTATCCATAGTCCTTCATATTTAAGCTAAATTTTATTATGGTCTTTAATTTTTAAAAATTTTTTATCGAGTTCTCAATTATTTAAAATTATCTTATTTTAATTATTTCATTTATAAAACTATTTAAATTGACGATATATGCTTATTGGTATAATGCGGATAACGTCATTTGGTATTTTACATGACAGATGAAGAGATTAAAATAAAATTTTGTTTAAAGTTTAAAGACAAACGATATTACTATCTCAAACTTTTTATGTTTCAGATTTTTTTATTAAAATTTTAAATTTAAAATAAAATTATATATTTTATTTATAATATAATTTATTCGTTAAATATTTTTTGCTTTTAATAGAAATAAATTATCAAAAATTAAAATTAAGTTGAAAATTCAAAATTCAAATTTTCTTTGAAAAATTTCATATCACTTTAAAAAATTAAGTAAAAAATTTTATAGCAGTTTAAAAAATTAAATAAAAACTTCATATCTTTTTCAAGTATTAAGTAAAAAATTTTAAATTATTTAAAAAATTTATTTATTAAACTATTTATAATAATTTTTATATTAAAAATTTATTTTGAATCTATTCTTTATTTAAATTTTATATTTATAAAAAAATAGAAAAAGACAATCAAAATGACTTTTACTGCCTTTGATCAGTAAGAGGAAGAAATAGAGTTATTGATAATGATATTTTTTACTTTATATAAATATAAAATTTTTAATAAAAATATATTCAAAGTAGAATTTATGGATAGAAAATAAATTTTTGAATAAAATTAATGAATCTATATTTTAAAATGATATGAAAATTTTTACTTAATAGTTTAAAATGATATTGAGTTTTTTTATTTAAATTTATAAATCAATATAAAAATTTTTAGTTAATTTTTAACTAACTTTCAATTTTTAAAATTTGTTTTCTATTAAAATATATTTTATTGATAAATAATATCATAAAAAATAAAAATTATTTTAAACTATAGTATTTTATAAAATATATTAGAAATATAAACAATCGATTTTTTCTTTAATTATTTTAATTATTATTTATTTTTCCATTTTTTCTTTATAAAATATATTTTATAAAATATGTTAGAAAAAGGAAAATATATATAATATTTTTAATCAAAAATAAATTTTTGGATGGAAATTAATATTTTTTTATTATGATTTATTAGTAAAATAATATTTTTAATATAAAATAGTTTTTTGTTTTCAAATTGATATGAAATTTTTTAAAAAAGATTCTAAAAATTTTAACTTAATTTTAATTTTTGAAAATCTATCTTTTTTCAAAACAAAAATATTTAACTAATAAATTATATGAAATAAAAATATAAAAACATAATTCTAAATTTAATATTTGGTAAAAATATATTTAAAATATAAAAAAATTGAAACAGTAGCATCTTTTATTCTTAAATTTTGAATAAAGTTTTATTTTAATTTTTCTACCTATCACATTAAAAGTTGGTTGCGTCAGGTAATATTTACGGTCAATTTATAGACAAAAGGCCAAATTGAAACTACTTTAAGCAATTAAAAATTTAATTAAACTTTTTAAAAAATTAAACATCAAAATAAAATTTATCCCAAAATTAAAAGATCGCTGATGCTATTAAGTCTTCTCCCCTTAAAAATAAGTGTGAGATTGATAATTTAGGCTTCGGTTGGGAGGTGGAAGGCGTATGGGTTAGACTACGGCAAGAAATTTGAAAATGACAGATTTTTTATGGGGAAAATTTCCATTCCACGAAAAAGAATTTTCAAGACAGCACGCAAAAGGAAGCACTACACCATGAAACGTGCACGAAAAGAATTTTTAGAATAAATTATTTTAACAAATGATAATAACACCAACTACAATTCTCACCTTTGTTTTTTCTTTCAAATTAATATTTTTTATTAAAAATAATTGAGAAAATATTAAAGATTAAGAGAAGGAAAAAAAGTGATTGTTCATGAATTTTTTTTTTTTTATAAATAAATCATAATTTGAAAATATAATAAGCCATAAAAGATGTGGTTAGCATTTACTATTGTTGCTATGTTCATCAAGCCAAGAAATTATATCACTAAAAACTCTAAGAATCATATCATCTGGTTCACCTTCAAGAAGAGCATGACTGGCATCCTTATAAATAATAATCCTCTTGTCCCAGCTGCTTGCTTTCTCGTACAAGGCTTTGCTAACAGATGGGTCCGTTACCACATCATTCTCCCCATGCAAGATTAATATCGGAAGTGAAACCTGAAATCATGGCAATTATAGTCATCAATCATAAGTTTCAAACTCCAAATCATAACTGGTATGATATTATATGACGGCTCTCCTGGAATGCCACTGGTATTAGTCATCGATAACTGTAGGATCCAAAAACCCTGAGGAAAGAACTAAACCATATTATATGACGGCACTCCTGGAATGCCAGTGGTATGATAATAGCATGGTAATTGAGACTCTGCCCCTATCGTACCCTAAGCAACATATGTAGCTCATCTTAATAGGTGTAGATGAAAAAGTTCGGTCATTTGGATCTGCAACTTAAGCTAAAAGATTCCTGCAACCGACTATCGACAACTTGTCCGGATTTAACAACGTTTGGCTTATCTGACTTTAAGGAAAACGAGTTTGGGGATTGATGCAGAAACTATAGTAAAGCGTGAGTTGATTGCTATCGAACATTAAACAAAATATAGTTATGGAGAAATATACACGCAACACACTGTCAAACAGACACAGAAAAGTTGTTTGAAATTCCATTTTGAAGTAAATAAAAAAATATTAAAGAGAGAGGGAGAGGGAAATTGGACCTTCTCCAAATTTTGTTCTATCTCGTCAGTGGTTCTCAGCATCTCTAGAGCAGTCCGCAAGCGTGGCTTGTCCTTGTAAGCAATAACATTATAAGGTGTCTGCATTGGTAGAAAACTGAAAAGTAAAAATATATATAATAAAAGTTTTGGCTATTTATTCAAACAAATATTCTGAATGCAGAGAAGATGAATGATTATACCCAAGAGATAACAAACTGCACAAAAATGTCACAATTATACACTTGAGCATTCTACAGGACATCCATAATATTTACCATAAACGTTAACTACAAGTTATTCAAATGATCCATAGAAACAAACCAATTCTCTCTTCTGATTGTCTCTGAATGCTGCCTCTGCCAAATCCTTTTGTGGGACTAACTTCTGCTTTGGAAGAATATTAGCCACACCAATCAGAATTTGCTTTACTATCCAGGGTGGAACCATTTCATCAGCAATCTACACAAAGTATTTCAATTAATAGAGGTAAAAAAGATGTATACAAAGTCCATAAAATGTTTCAGTTCAGAAATATACTTTGCACATAGGAGCAACAACACATGCACCACTCCAGGCGTTAGGTTGTTTTAGGTGCATCTTCAGAGCTACGGCTCCACCCATTGACTGCCCAAAGAGGAAGTTTGGAAGAGCCCTAAAATCAGGATTCTCTGCCATCGAATCCAACAAACGTGAACATCAAGAGCAAACCAGTAATCAAGACCATTGACATTTTTTCTTATACATTTAATAAAAATGAAGATAACAAAGACTCTGAAGGGAAGGAGAAAGTCTTCCTTCGAATAAAATTATAACAAGCCTAAGGTACATCAAGTAAACCAAACATCATCATTTATGGAAATTTTATAAAGAAAAAAAAAGGTAACTTGCTAGAAAAATGAAAAAACTGAAGCTTCTTACATATTTATGAGGCACATAACAAGAGAACTAAAAGAAAATGAATTGTTCCAATTCATCTTTTTCTTAAGTGATGGCAATATTGATAAAACGATAGATGTTTACAAATGTAAAATAACAATATTCCAATTCAAAATTACTTCATCTTCATTACTTTCTTTCCGCTGTCCACTGTTTTAGTTGAAATTGATACATTTTGAGAAGAAACAACTAAAAATTTACCACTTCTATACATCACATGGAAAGAGGACAGATAATGCTTTACATCAACCTCTCTTGCAGTTTAGTCACAAGCTCCTTGTCCTCTTTCCTGACAAAAGATTCAAGTGGCCTTGTGTGCACAATTAGAGAGAAGTAAGAGCATGAAAAGGAGGAGATTAAAAATGGAAGGTGAAAGTGTAATTGCTTCTACTTGATAGAGTAATAAGTAGGACATAATGCTTGACATTGATCTTTCTACCAGTTCAGTCACAAGCTTGCTGACCTCTATTTTTCAGAAAAGATTCAAGTGGCTTCTTGCGAGCACAATTAAAGAGAAGTGAGAGTATGGAAAGGAAAAGATTGAAAAAGGAAGGTGAAACTGCAATTTTCTTCTACTTGATATGATAAGAGTAGAAAAGTGAGAGAATGAAAATTATATAAACTACAAGGAGGAAAATGTGAGAGAAGATGAAAGTTCAAAAAAATTTTACGAATTAATTAACTTCCAAATCCATCTAACAAAGCATGAGAGAAAAATCAAATATTTATTCTACTTTTCAATCTTTTATTACTCTCTTCTCCCCATTGAGAAGTTTGTTTTCACCATTTAGCAAATTGTTAAGGTGCTCTGCCTTGATACATCCCTGCTGTTGGATATTGAATCTGCAATCAGGGCCTTCTCTCCGTGCATCTTCAGTTTATATCAAATTGTACCCCCTGGAATGCTGAAACCAGGAGTTTCACACAAACATTTGTGATGGTTTTTCCTAAAAATGTCCAGGTCATTTTATCACTAAAGGGTGCTGCAAAATGACTTTGATGTATTTCATCAAGTTTTAGTCAATTATATGCAACTGAAGAGGCTTGAAGAACAAAATTTGTCATAGTCAGGTCAATGCAAATCTTTTGGACATACTTTGTAATTGAGAAACTGTGTTCAAAGCATGATTTCATATTTTTCCTACAGCTACAAGGAGTACGGATTATTGTTAGATGATTTGTGACTCTCAAATATTGATGTGTCAACATTCAACAAAAATCATAAAGGATGATAAATTGCCAAGCACTTATACACGCAAAATTCCACAATGTACTATCAAGTTACTTTACCACTTCATTGAAGAAGGATATCAATGAATTGTTCTATCAAGGGAAAGCGGAAAAGCTGAGACCATGTAAGATAAAATTTGGTCACAACCAGAGAAGTTCCCCAAAAAGATTCAAAATTAATATCATTATAGCTTAGAGGGGAAAAACCCACACCTTTGACTTTGGAGTATTGCTCAATCACATCATCCACAAGCCTGTCAAAGCTCGGAATATAGCAATGAAGGCCTTCTGACAGACCAAATCCTGGGTAATCCATTGCAAAAACTCCATATCCACACGATGCCAATTTCCTAGCAATTCCTGCTAACAATGTCAAAAGATATTTAGGTCCCATGACAACATACCCAAAACTACAACAAGGTTATTTGTTACTAGTTATGAACTACATGCCTTCAAAAAAAAAAGTGCAAGTGTCTCCATAACCATGACAAAAAAACACCATTGCCTTGGGGTGAGAGTTCTCTGGAAGCCAACTTTTTGAGAAAATTTCCAATCCCCTAGAATTCACCTCATATGACTGTACCAAAAAATTTCAAAATATGAAGTGATTATAAAGTAGACTATAGCCACTGCAAAGAATCAAACATGAGGCAATTAAAACATTTTTTGGCAAAGTAGACAACTTAGGTATGAACTTCATCAATTCCGTGCAAGAAGGAAAAGAAAAAGTAACTGAATAAGCAACACCATAGATATATTTACAGTGGGGAAATTTTCTTTTCGAAAGGAAAAAAGGGAAAAAGCTTTCCAGTTGCCAAAGGTTGTTCCTTTTTATCACTAATCTGGTGACCTTCCATTTGGTCTAAACATAAGAGAACAGCCAATTTCAAAACACACACACACACACACACACACAAGAGATCAGCTAAAACAATAGTATGATGCTTTCACAAGAACTTTTACATTTGAACTGGGAATCTCTTATTCACTTTAAACGAAACTTGCTTGTAGAGAGAAAGAAAGAGGAGCTGTGGTGGACAAAAGCCTGCCAAATACCAAAGAGAGAAAAGAAGAAGAAAAGTGCAATTTCATAGCTTTTACCTCCTTCATCTTCAGTCCATCTGGAGGTGTCTGCAACACATGCAAAAAAAAAAGGAAAAGGACCAATCATTATTCACCTAAAAACAACTCAAAATTTTAAAACCATCTATTTGGCATATCAAAAACTGAATTCTCACATTCACAATTTGTCTACTCATTCTAACAACTACCCAATTTTCCTTTAATTAAAATATTGTTTCTCTAAATGAATCAACTCAACCAAATTCTTTAAACTATCCATAAAAATTATCCAGAAAATAAAATGAAATAAAGCTAACAAACACTCAACTTATAACTTATCCATTTGAAATATCAAACAAAAACAAAGGCAATTCTCCACTGAATTTTTGAGAAGTTGTCTACCAATTCTCCTTTTTATCCAGCCATTCCTTCTCTAACTACATATCAATTCAACCAAATCCTCTAAAATGAAATAACAACTCAGAGTCATTGAAACAAAAATCTAATACTTCAATTCAATATATAACTTTAGTACCCATTAGATATAAATTTGAAGAATGAAGGTTAAAAGAATAACCTTGAATAAAATATGATTAATTCCAAGCTGAATATCCTTAAAGGCTTCCCTAGCTCTCCTTCTAGCAGGTGCTTCATCCATGTTAGTATCCAAAATCTTCTGTAACTCTTCATCTACCCCTTTAAACCTCACTGGCTTAGCCATTACTCTGCTTTTTCCTCTCCTCCAATTCAACAAAAACCCTGTCACCCACCAAAAAAATTAATAGAAAATGAGAAAAAAATAATAAATGGTTTTTTTATTGTTATTCTTGGTCTCTAGAATTACCGTAAAAAAGATGGCTCCTGAACAAGTTTGAAGTTTTCAAAGCCATGTGGATTTTTCTTTTGAAAAAATTAAAAAATCAAATAGTATTTGTTCAATTTGTTTATATTTTATTTTATTTTATTTTTAAGATGCAAAAGAAAGTTGAGATTTTAATTAGGAAAAATATTTTATAGGGTAACCAGAGAGGTTGGAATTCTAAGATTGCAAACCGGTAAAAAAAAAAAAAAAGAAGGGGTTTGTGAAGATGATGACTGAAACTGATGGGACCCATTCACCAAAGGAAAGAACTGATGCTCACGACATCTTCTTACTTCACGTGGTATAGATTCTTTTGGCAATGGCAAAAAAGTAGGCGCATAATCCGACCAATCAATCAAAGACTCGTCCCATTAGTTTAAATAATCGGACTAATCGAATAACGACTCGTTCCATATAAATCTCATAAATCGTATTTTTATATATCCAATATTATATCATATTTGATATGTATAATAATATAAATTATTAAATTATAATTATAATATAAATTATAATTATAAGTACGATATATTTATTATATATATTATATAAAATCGATATGATTAATATATATAATTAATTTATTTAAATATGATATAAATAAATATGAATAGATAAAAATATACGAATAAATATGATTAAAATGAATATATACAAAAATATAACTAACATAATAAATAATTATAAATTATCTCTTATTTACAACTTAATTAATTTGATATATTAATAATATAAAAAATTATTTACATATTAAAAAATATAAAAAATTTAATACCAATTTAATATCTATTTAATTTATATATTTAAATTTTAATATATATTACATAATTATATTAATGTTTAGTATCAAATTTAAATTGATAAACTATTAAAGAGTAAAAAATAAAATAATAATATATAGGACTAATATTAATATTAATATTATTAATATAAAAAATAATTTTATAATAATTATTAAATGAGTATCACAATTAAATATTTAAATTAATTTTTATATGATATTAAATAGCTATTTAAGTATCATAATTAAAAGATTAAAAATTAAAATAATCTTTATATATTTATATTAAATTAAAATAAATATAAAAAATGTATTAAATATATTAAACGTATTAAACATGTTAAATGTGTATTCGTATGATAAGATTAAAGTAAATATGTTATTCGAGTCGTGTCACGTATTTAAAGATATCAACACGTATAAGATATAAATTGTGTAGTGTCGAAATTCATATCGACAAGAATAAATATGAAACATATTTTTTTAAAATCATATATAATTTTTTTCATGTCGTTTTCATATAATATCTAAAATTATCAGGTCTAGTTTTATCAACTTATTTATACTGGAGGTAAATTGATTTTGATAAAATTAAAATAATGATAACATTAAAATTAATTATTGTAGAAATAAAATAAAATTCGTAATGATATTAATTTTGGTAAAATTGAAAATAATGATATTGATAAGATTGATTATTATAACAATAAAATTAGTTATTAAATTAGTAAAATTTTGTTCTTCATCGTAAAGGTTGTGCTATTTTGTAGGTCAAAAACAATGTAAAAATAACGGTGGTGATAAAATATAACCTAATAAAAAGAAAAATTGATCATTAAAGATATTAATATAAATATATAATAAAATATTAATATATATATATACTAATACTATTATTTAACATTTAAAATGTTTAAAAAATTATTCAATCAAAATATTGAATTATTTTAAAATAATAATTAAAATTTTAAATATTAAAAATTATAAAAATGATTCAAAATAGTTAATATTATAAAAAAAGTAATACTGATAACAACTGTAAATATTATTTAACAAAATAGTATTAAACATATGAAATATCAAATTTATAACAACTGCAAATGTTATTTAACAAAATAGTATTAAACATATGAAATATAAAATATATAACAAAATTAAAAAATTAAAATTTTAAAAATAATACATTAAAACATAATAAAATAAAATTACTACTATTAATTTATTGTATTATTTATTTAGTAATCTATTTTAATAAATTACTTAATTATAAAAACATTTATCTTTTTAAATATTTACTAGGTATGATTTTTATGATAAAATTTATTTTTTATTTGTATTTATTACTTTAGTTATTTATTTATTAATTATTTTATTATATAATTATATAAATGATTTATGGTATAATTATAATAATGTTTTGTGAAAAGCTTTAAATAAAAGATGAAAAACATAAATAATAAAAAGAAATTAAAAGACAAAAGCTACTAAGTGATAGAAGGTATTCTTATTCATGCATTATTCAATGGAGTTCAAAAAGGAGAACAAAAAAGGATGGCAAGGGCATAAAAGGATTATAAGTGATAGGAGGTATTTTTATCCTTGCACTATTCATTGAAGGGTTAAAAAATATGGTAAGGGCAAAAAGGGGGAAGAAAGGTTATGGTGGAAAGAATAATTTTTCATTGAACACTTAAAGGTTTAACGGTGATTAGAGGCTCTAGTGGGATTAAAGAAAGTTCAATCATGTCGAAGCATTAGATCCAAACATCATTCAATGGCGGTTGAAACTCTAAACTATGTTACTATTGCCACATGTGGGTCCAGGAACCCGATATAGTATGGAAAATTTTAAGATCAAAATCAATAGTTGTTACCAATATTTTTTCATATGTGTGATTAGTCATCCAAAAAGTTTATTTTTTTCATAAAACTCTAAAACTAGTTCAAAATTTATCAAAAAGATAACTTTGGTCTTTGAAATAAAAAAGGGATTCAAGAGTTTATTTACGCATAAAGAAAGATTAGCACCTCCACAGTACCTATTAAAAAATGGTACTAATTAATTGCATGTCATCCTTGAGTTTTGATAAAAATGGTCTTGACTTTAATGTTTAAAGTTAATTCCTTGAATTTCATTTATTTTCACAAAATCATATTTTTTTTATTCTTTGAAAATGCAAATAATTTTATTTTGGATTAAAATGAACCTTCTATATCAAAATATTTTCTAAACTCTCTTATATCTAGGTGAAATTTCAAAAACATTTCTTTACTTAAAGATTTCATAATAATCCATCGAAACAAAGGAAATATTTTTTATAAAAGATAATTGTTGAGAATTTTTCCTATAACTTGCCAAAGTCTCAAGAATTATTTTTACTTGAAATATTATCTTACTTTATTTTCAAAACATATTTCAAAACATTTTCTTAAAATATTAGAAAATTTTATTAATAGATGCAATAAGGTATTTATAAGAATGACAATTAATATACTAATGCATACAACAAACTAATTATGAAAACAAACAAGTGCATATGCATGTAACAAAATATTTTTGAAAGTGATGATTGCTAATGCTAAGATGAACAACAAATTAATTATATGAATAAACACAAATGCATAAGAGTGATTATGTTAGAAATTAGGGTTTGGAAAAGGATTAGAGTTACTAATAGGGCTTAGGAAAAGGTTTCAGGTAAGGGTTAGAATTTAGGGTTTGGGTTGAGTTTAGGGTTTTGGCTAGGGTTAGGTTTAAGGTTTAAGTTTAGGTTTTAGGTTTAAAGCCTAGGTTTAGGGTTTGGTTTAGAGTCTAGGTTTAGGGTTTGAGTTTAGGGTTTAGATTTAGGGTCTAGTTTGAGGTTTGGTATAAGATTTGAGTTAAAGGTTTAGGTTTAAAGTCTAGGTTTGGGGTCTAGGTTTGGTGTTTGAGTTAAAGGTTTAGGTTTATGTATGATTAGCTATGCATGACACTTTAAATTTTTCATTAAACTAAGTGCATGAGATTAATCAACTATAATGCATGAAATTAAACTAATATAATTAAGTTGACATGAACATATTATCAAAAACCTAATAAACATTAAAACCAAGCAAAGGGTGACTAAGAGGGAAAGGAAGGGCTCAGCCAAGGCAATGAGCAATGCCTAAGCTAAGACCCCTAGGTCATGTTGATAGGTCTTGTGTGGTCATTTTATCAAACATTTGAGAAACTCATGAAAATTTGCATTTTTATTTCATCAAACACCATGAAAACATTAAAATCAATACCTTTCTAACTTTGAAATTTTATTTAAACACCTAGCAAATATAACAAAACATGAACACCTACCTAAAAAAACAAAGAAATAGGATATGGAAGGAATGATGAGCTCTTGGCCAAGCATGGGGAAACCTAGGTTGAGAGCTTCCCTAAGGCTCCATTTATGATATTTTTGTTAATTTCCATTAGGTAAGTCTTTCATTCATTAGATACACATCAAACACTTAGAGAACAACCATTTATTTTCAATGAAACTTTTATAAAACACTTGGAAAATTTTATAAATGAAAATAAACAAACTAACATTTTTCTTCATCAAAATCAAACAAACATATAATCAAACTAAATAAACAAGATCATCACAAGCACAAATCATCATAAACATATTAAGATCATTTACCCAAGCATGAAAATCATCACAAATTTAAGGTGGAAGTCTCGACCATTATCGCAAGGTGCAGATCCGAGAATCCTATCGTTAGAAGTGAAAAAAAATATTTTTCAAAAACATCAAAACCGAAAAGTTATTATCAATTTTTTTAAAGATGTGATTGGTCACCTTAAAAGTTTATCCTTTTAATAAAATATTAAAACAAGTTTAAAGTTTATTAAAAAGATATTTTGGCTTACAAAAATTGAGTTGGGTTCAGGAGTTTGATTATGCACAAGGAAAGATTAGCACCTTATAGTGCCTGTTTAAACAAATGTACAAATTAGTTACATGTTATCCTCAAGTTTTTATAAAAATGGTTATAATTTTAATGTTTACTAATTAGTTCCTTAAGTTTTATTTATTTCTTCCAAAATTATTTCTTGAAAGCAAATCACTTTGAATTTTATGTTTTACGAACAAATCATTTTTTTTTGAAATGTTGAAAAACAAACCAATTATTGGATTGAGATGAAAAATCCTAAGTATCAAAACACTTCCTCCATTCCCTCATATTTAGGTGGAATTTAAAAAATATCCCTAACTTTAGGAGTTTTCAAGATGTCCCACAAAACCAAGATAAT